TTCGTTTGCAAGGTTTACGTAAACATCGAACGCAAAATTGAAGTATTCATACACGTTGCTGTTTTTTTTGTAAATACTTCGTAATGCAATTTAAAAAAAAACCGACATAAATTTTCTTTGATTATAATACACTGGACTTAGATACTCAGACTTTCTGTTCAAAATGAAGAAATTCAATTCTATTAAATCGATATTAGTTGTTCTAATGAAACAAAAAAAACTATTCAGATAATCAGCAGCCGTTCTGATTTTATTCAATATTTCAAGGTTAGTGAAAACAAACCAATAGGAGTCATTCTTGCTCTTCGAATTGAAACAGTTCGGCTTGAAAGAAACTTCGTCATTTTCTCCCAGCTGGAATTTTAATCTTTTAAACAGCTTTTTGTTAGGACCCACTTGAGGATACCGAAGCACTAAACCGAATCGTGAACATTCCCAAAAAATCAATACTTTAGGGTAAGGATCATTATCATCAATTATTTGACTCTAATGCTATCATCAACCGTTATATCAGTAACGATAAAAATTGCACTGCATATAGAGTAAATGGTTCTGTATAAAATCATATTAAACAATTGCTTTGTTAATGAGTACTGCATTGAAAAAAATTATTTTGGTTATAACTTGATAAAGATTCGTTATTGAAAGGTGAATTTTATGCCATTGATGGAACTTCACACACTCTATAAAAAAACTGGAAAAAGATCATGATTGTTAAAACTGATGATTAAAACTTGAGAAGAAAGACGGCCATTATTACAAGATTTTGAGATGAAAAACAAGATTTCTATTTAAGAGTGGGTGTGGGTGTGGGTGTGGGCGGGTGGTTGGGTGTGGTTGGATGTAGGTGTGGGTATGGGTGGGTGTGGTTGTAGTTAAAGAGATCCAACCCACACACCCACACCCACACCCACACCCGCACACCAACACCTGCACCCACATCCCACACCCAGTCACACCCACACCCGCACACCAACACCTGCACCCACATCCCACACCCAGTCACACCCACACCCCACACCCAGTCACACCCACACCCACACCCCACACCCACACCCAGCCACACCCACACCCACACCCCACACCCAGCCACACCCACACCCACACCCACATCCCACACCCAGCCACACCCACACCCACACCCACACCCCACACCCTCGTATTAAACCTATTGATTCTAAACTCACCCTCACACGCTCGTTCATACCCTCGGAAATTTTGAGTAATTATTTTTGGTAATGGCAGCGACGATGACTCAGCCGATCGATCTACACTTCTTGTCGTAACACATGGCTTTGTTTGCTTTTAAGTCATGCCAAGTTGTCGAAGGGTAAAACTGATGAAAGAAGGAACGTTACGAGAAATAAGAAGAAAGAAAAAAATTCCAACATACACATTATTTACTCTCCTTTTTCCTTTTGTTAATATTTGTTTTTGCACGATCCGTCTTCGATTCGAATACGCTCAGAAATGGCTTGTGGTGATCGTCCAATTTACCGTGAGGCACTTGGACGAATAGCCCTTCTTGGATCTCTCTACGATGCCACCACAGACAAATTTTGCGAGCGCACCATTTTCAACAATACGTTGCCAGAGGCTGCCGTGAGCGTATGTGATGCAACTTTCAGTTATTCCCACGATGACTTTGATAGCAGCCTAACTGAGAAGCTTAAAACGCTTAAAGTTGGCCTATCCTTGGGTCTCAGCGTGCTTAGTGGGCTTGTGGCAGGCTGTGGTGCTTCTGGCAACTATTTATCCTCAGATACAGTCAAACAGCAAAGGGTGAAAGCGACCCTTGTTCGTCGCGTGACTTTGAAAAAAGACTCTCTGAACGTCTCTCATTGAGATTTGAAAGACAACGTCGACTCTGTTATGTTACGGTACAAATATGCAACTCATGTGGTCACAGGAATTTTATGGGACATCGATGTGTTTGTTCAGGTGGCAGCAACGAGTACTACTAACAAGGACCACAGTGCAATCCAAGCTAGTCTAAAAGCAGATGTTTGCAAAATTCTCAGTCCACTGTTGACTCTTGCTATCAATTCATCAAATATTAGTGACCAAACTACAATGAATACCATAGAAGATCAACAAATGGTCACGCAGCCATCCACATCACTCAGTGAATCACCCGAAAGAGCTCCAAGCGGAGAAGGTTAGAGAACAATTTTAGGTTTTTCCAGCTCACACTGTATTTTATAACTGCTTGTCTTTTCAATTAGCTTGTTCTATGAGTTTTGCTCCTCTGTATTTTCGTTTGAAATCGAATTTTCAACATCTGCAGCAGATATGCAAATTTTGTTTTTGATTTCAGTACCCAGGCAGAGAAAATCGATAAAAAAACGCGTTTTTCCAAACAAACGGCGTTTTTTGTCGTTTTTTCACCGGAAAACGCACTTTTAACGCGTTAAAATATGCACATTTGAATGCGTAAAAACGGCGTTTTTTATCGCTTCTCTGTCTAGATTAAAAACGCCGTTTTCACGAATTCAAATGTGCATATTTTAACGCGTTAAAAGTGCGTTTTCCGGTGAAAAAACGACAAAAAACGCCGTTGGTTTGGAAAAACGCGTTTTTAAATCGTTAAAATGTGCGCTTTTCAATCAGAAAAACGCGTTAAAATGTACCATTTTGAACGGATAAAAATGCGTTTTTTTATGGATTTTGTCTGCTACGGTAGGGGACTATTTTAATTGCAAAAGAACTAAATAGCGGTGGCAAAAATGTCAATTATAGAAGAACGTCAACTGAACTTTTTCTTATATCTTGAAAATTTAACCGAACAGTGACTGATTATTTGTTTCTTTAGATACAGGGCGAATTCTACCATTGAGCAAAAAAAAATCACCAACATCAGTAAATTTTACATACAAAATTACTTTATTTGGTGACTTCATTCCTACTACGTATCCAAAATCCATTGATGAACTGTTGTTGACGCTTTCATCAATATCTTCTGAGTTGCATAAAACGAAAGAAGGTAAAGGGAGACCGATTCAGTACACTATGCTTCCACTTGAAGACGTAGCTGCTATATTCGCTTGCGACATAGTCGATCGAGTCACTTTTCGTGCGATTAACAGCAATCTCGCAGCTAGGATCACTTTTGCATTCAAAAAAGTTGCAAAGCTACGATCCTCTACTCAACAAATGGTGACTGCTTCGAAAGAAGTGGCAGAATTTCTTCTAGAAAACGAGACTGACGCAATTAGTATCATTTGCCATGAAACCATTGAGTTGGAGGAATGCTTTCGTGCTGAAACCAGCAGTATACTAATTCGGGTTCGTAGTGGTCAAACTGATGAAGCTGAACTTCAACGATTACTCACTGAATTTGAACAGAAGCTATCCCATCAGACACATCAATATGAACACTTTCGACACAGTGTTATCAGCCAGAAAGTTGATTTCTCCCTGGAATTGAAGCACAAAGGGGTGAAAGTTATTGGAGATCATCATTCACTGTTGCAAATCCGGCATTGTTACTCGAACCGAAAAGTCTTCATCCTCTGCTCCAGCAAGGCTATTCGACAGTCAGAAGATCAATGGACAGAAGTGTATTATCGTTTCCTTCATATGATAGAAGAGATGGAATCTAAAGAGCCATCTTCATTGTTTTATTACTTAGATTTCTATCAGTATCCCTGTGATTGTTTACTTACGGATCACGCTGCCATTCATACCTATTTCAATCATGAACTCGTGCCTATGAATCAAAATGAGGAAAGACAAAATGATTCCATCTATCAAGGTGACCAACACACTCGAACGTATAGTCCCTACATTTTGATACCCGTGCGAAAACCAAACATTATTCTCCTTGTCGGTCTCCAACAGGCTGGAAAATCGACCGTGAAGAATCTTTTGACTGGCTCCTCTTTATCGTCCTCTCTACCTTATTGTAAAACGACAGAAATTACCGTCGAATCATTTTCCATCGCTAATACCGATATTGAATTTGACATTATCGATACACCAGGACTTATTCGAAGTTTCGAAGTGTCAAAACGCTGGGTAACCTGTGATATAGGTAAATCAGAATATAACCGTGACGTTATAAACGCATTCACAGCATTGTATCTCTCACACGTTCATTTCATTTGCATCTGTGTCGCCAATGTGGATATGGATATTAATGATGTACTATCTATTAAAAACTGCTTGGCATACTTTTCTCAACAAGAGACAGGTCATAATATTTTGTTAATCATTACTCATTGTGAGGCGATGGATGAAAACCAACGGCAAGCGGCGCGAGATTCAGTGGCAAATGACAAGAAGTTCGAAGAGTTAAGACAACTAATTAGTAACAACATCCTTTTCTCTGGTACGATTTCCCATAATGAACAGGCTTCTTTCATGCAGACAGTCCATGCTTATCGCAACAAGCTCATTGATTTTCTTAAACAAGACGTCAAGCCGATCCGGCGTTATATACCATCGCAGTTTGGTCGATATTCTGGCACAACCTCTACATGTCGGCAAAGTTAGCTGCCGATTCGAGGTCTTGAACATTAGACAACACGCATGCCATGAATTCGATCTTATTCTTACTATGACTTTCATCGGGTGAGGATACCTCCTATTCCGCGAAGTTGAACATTGTGGAACCAGTTCCGCCCTGGAATCAATTCCGCTCAATTCTGAGAACTCGATCATCATTCAACATAGGAGCGGGTGTGGGCGTGTGGTATGGGTGGGTGTGCGATGTGGGTGTGGGTGTGGGTGTGGGTGTGGGTGAGTGTGGGTGTGGGTGTGCGTGAGTGTGGGTGTAGGTGAGTGTGGGTATGGGTGTGGGTGTGGGTGTGGGTCTAGGTGCGGGTGTGGGTGTTCCTGAAAAGAGGATCCATACCACACCCACACCCACACCCCAACAGCAATCTTAAATACCTACAAGAAAACCTCATGAATACAAAAATTTATATGATGCTGTACAAATAATTACTAGTAATAAAGGTTTACGAGAATTTTATTGTGCTTTTTTACCTACTCTAATAATGGCAGTACTAGCAGTGGTATTAACATTATTATCATATGAAAAAAACCAAGAATTTCTAACTGATACTTTTAGTGCTATTTCAGCAAAGTGGTAAAATAAATTTCTAATTAGCTCAATATATGAACAATTGAAATTGTATTCTTAATATAGAAAACGAACTAATTTAAGGAAAAGAGAGCGAGAAAATAAAAAATAATAAACATATTGATTAGGTATAAATGCATACATATTTATAATATTAACTGTTATGTCTATACAGAAAAAAAAGAATTTTCATAATTGATACGATATTAATCGTCCATTATTATTCGCAATCAAAGTCGTTAATATCTTATGTGGATGTAACGTTGGTTCAACGTCATTTGAATGTTTTGATTTATTTTCTTCCACATGAACTTTTTGTTCTCGATGATTATTTTCATTACTATCTTTAGGATTGCTTATATCCGACCCGATAATATACAACATAGCATGATTATATAATCTTAAAAGTGTTACAGGTAACTTGAATATCTATTTGAATGAGTGTTCAAGAAATATCATCTTAATACAAATTTAGAAAAAAATTTAGAATTAATGGAAAATATTCTTTTACCACTAGGAAATCGAAGTTCCAATAAAAGTCGATGATTCATTTTTTAGTGATGTATTACAAAAACTTTTGTAATATTTTCTATTAGAATTATTAGTATCTATGTTAAAAATGTATTAAACAAAAGAAATATAAAATATTGTTCTTATTAGTTTATTTCTTTTACCAATAGATGATGAAGAAAATTTTGTGGTTTTTTTCTTATATTTTACTTGTTTAACTAGAAAATAATGTTCTTTACCATATCTAAATTTAATATTTTTATCATAATATATTTCTATTTTAGATAATGACTACTAGATTACGTTGTTTTTTTATATTAAAACTGATGGCAATAATGGTCTTGTTTAATCTTTATCTTAGTTTTTTTTTAATCTTTGTTTTCTTTAGTTGGTCGAATTGAATATGAACTTTTTAATAATAGATATCTACGTACATGCGAAAATTTTCGTTGTTTATGCACAGGTAAAATGAGATTTTTTTAATTTAGAAATTTTGTTAGAGTTCAAATTCTAGAAGAAAAAGGCCGTGCTTCAAAATTAAATAAAAAATTACATTATAAAAAATGTCATTTTCATCGAATTGTTAAAGATGTTATGATTCAATCGGAAGATTTTACTAAAGATGATGTTCTTTTTAGTTTATAGAATATTCACTTGACGTTTTAAAATGAAAAAATAAAAGAAAGAAGAAAGTGAATACTGATTTTCATCTCTTTTAATCACATGAGAGAGATGAATGATAACAAAATTAAAATATGATTTTTTTTTGCATCTATCTGATCTTGAAATTTTAAGTAATGACACCAGTAGTGAATCGATTTTTGGTGGGACATTTGATGGTAAAGATTTTCGAATTATTTTGAAAGAGAAAGAATATTATCATATGTTATATGAAACTTTAAAAATTATTTATTTGTAAGCATAAATTCATTTTATGTTCTTTTATTTTATTTTTATTTTATTTCTCCATGTAGATGTTCTTATAGAAAATGATAATGTACAGTTATAGATGGTGATGGTGCCACTATTCCATCAGTACATATACGTAGTTTGTTAGAATTGGTCGAATTCATTACGAATAAAACGTCCAATTCCAAATTCATGCTTTTTTTTCCTTCAAATAATAAATGTAAGCGATCATATTTATTAGTTACTTATTATTTTTTATTGAAACAAAATGGGTCATACATGTTTCATTATTACTCAATCTACACCTTTTGGAATGTGTTATAGATCAAGATCAATAACAGTAATAATGAAATAAATCGAAAATTAAAATACAATTAATTTTTACAACAACACACATTGACAATGGCGAACTGTATTCGTCGAAAGCTTTGTAATAATAATTATTAAATCATATTTATCATTTTGAAATTCATCAAATCATCAAAAATATGATCATTTACATTTATTTATTATTTGAAGAAAAAGCATGAATTGGGAATTGGACGTTTTATTCGTAATTGAATTCGACCAATTCTAACCAACTACATATATGTACTGATGGAATAGTGGCACCATCACCATCTATAACTGTACATTATTATTCTCTATAAGAACATCTAAAAATAAAAATAGAAAAATAAAATAAAAGAACATAAAACGAATTCATGCTTACATATAAATAATATTTTAAAGTTTCATATAACATATGATAA